GAAGCGTAGAATTGTGTTTGTAGTTATATGATAGCTGAGGAGGGATTTGTGCTACGAAAGGGGATGCTTTAGTGATATGTGAAAGTAGCTGCGCTTTGCATAATCTTTATGAAGCAATGGTAAGCTTATTACCTTAAAATAGCCTTTAAGCAGGATACACGTTAGGCTAGTCGATGTTTGGAAACTTGCATGTACTAACATCAGTAGCTAGTCAAAGCAATTGAAGCTTTTAATTTAACACGCTGCTCGTGCGACTTTAGTATTTATCCGCTTATCCACCGGTACTGCATTCAGCCCAGCGACCTCCTGGGCCGTTTTCTGGGACATTTCCCTGGAGCATTTCACCCCACACCACGACACCGACCCAGTGGATTAGCCTGTGAGGCGGTCCACTTTAGACGTCCGTGCCGACTGAGCTACCCCTGGGGAAATCAGCCGGCCTCGGCCGCTCCCAATCCTCCGCTGTAATCCGTCCTAAATGGTGACCACGCCGCCGGCGCCGCCCGGGGCGAATCGGGTCACGGGTCACGACAGGGGGTACGCTACCTGAGGCGCTCCCTGAGGGTGGGACGGTACGGATCTAACGCTCCCTGAGGGTGTGACGGCACGGATCTAACGCTCCCTGAGGGTGGGACGGTACGGTACGTACGGATCTAACGCTCCCTGATTGTGTTACGGTCCGTATGGATCTAACGTTCCCTGAGGATGGAACAGCTCGGACGGAAGGCCCTGGGTGAATAAGGGAGTAAGGATATTTTATTGGATGAGGTCGACAAAGTGATGACTTGAGAGTTGTACTGCTGTATAAAAAAAAGTTTCACCGTGAAGTTATGCTAGTGTTAGAAAAACGAGGATATAACCTCGTTTCATGTCGGTCATGAGATATAATAATGAGATATGATGTTTGGAGATAATGAGATATAATGTTTGGTTTCTTTACTGCTGATGCGTTAAAAGGTTTGCCATTATTGGTCGCACTATCGCTTTGCATCGAGCCCATTATGTAAAAGTGTACTTATTGGTATCTGAATCGACCTGTTCTGTTTCCAGAGCCGTCTGAAACCGGGACACCGGTAACTCTTGTCCTGACACCTTCCCTCCGGAGTCTGGACTCGTATCACGTATCCGGAATCGTCTCATCCTGTCCGGAGCCACTCTCCCTGTCCGGTATTACCCTTACCCGCCACGTCTCGACAGTTTCTGGGATCTTCTCGCCATCTGTCCTATTTTGCTCCTATCTTCCGTTCGTCGAACCTTCTTATCATTCACGTGCCTCTCACCTTCCAGCGGCCTACCGTTGGCGCGTCCCTGGACTCTCTCCTGAGTGTCGCCACTAGCGATGTAAATAAGAAAACCGCTTTCTGTTCCTGTTTATGAAATAAGATAGGTCAGAACCCGTTGCTTTTAACCCCGCGCCATATTCCATTCTTATCCCATGCGTTATCCTACTCGCGCTTACAAATCCCATGACCGTTGTGCACAAAATGTGGCTCGTGTAGCATCTATGGTGCTCCGTGACTTCCCCAGACCTCAGCCTAACACCGCCTCGTCCCCCAGGTCGATCGACCCGGCACTGCAGACGCTCTTCGCCGACCTCTGCGAGGAGCAGGTCACCATGCACATCAACCAGGACGACGTGAAGCAGAAGAAGAAGCAGCGCAAGGTCGAGACCGAGGTCAGCGACCTCAAGGAGAAGCTGGACAAGACGGCTGTAGGCAAGAATCTCGTGCTGAGCAACCGCGAGATCCGCCTGCTGCGGTGAGTCGGTGTAGAGAGTGTGACAGGGGCGCCGTTGGAGGCGGGTGCCTCAGCTGCTGCTGGTGGTCGGTGAGATAGTCGGTTGTGACGAGTGCTATTATTTAAAGTCGTCTCACTCTGTCCGGTATTCCTTACCCATCTTATTTAAACGGCATATCTTACATGCTAAACTTAAACTTTACAGAACGGGATATATTACATCGGCAACACAACCTAGGCGAGCTTAAACTGCTACAAATCGATATCGTAACATATCCTAGTTACGTGTTCCGTTTCTGACGTCTGCCCTCGTCACTGTTCAGGTACGTGGAGCTGACGGACGAACAGCGGGAGAAGCTGGAGAAGTCCTACAAGGTGGCCAAGAAGCTGGAGCGGCTGCAGCAGAAGCGCGAGGACGGGTGAGTGGCCGGCGAGACAAGCCTTCGTTAGCTACTCCGTTCACCCGACACGTGCTCATTGTTGACATTTTGTGATATTTGGCATTAGCGTGCGTGGGGCGGGGCTTTTGTTGGAACTACAGATGGAATTGTGGTTCAGTGTTTCTTGGTATTTCAATTACTGGTTTGTTTGTTTGCATATGACTGTAAAGTTGTAAGTTCCCTGAGATGAAATATTCAGTGTTTCTTGGTATCTAAGTCGTGTGTGTTTGTTGTTTGATGTGCTTGATCGCTTGAATTTCCAACCGTTGTTCCACGTAATGTCACCTAGTGGGTGACTTGGGAAACTTACTTCGGGTAGCATAACACTTACTAAATCAGACTATTTTTCCGCCGTGCTGACCCCTCTCCTGTCTGTGTTTCCAGCGAGGGTGCGGCGGACGACTCTGAGACGTCGCTGCCGTGGATGAACGGCGACTCGGAGTACCCGAGTCTGAGCAGCATGACGAGCAATAACAGTGTGGAGAGCGGCGGACGCACATCGGGAGACTCGTCCGCCGCCGATAGCACCGGTAAACAGGGGTGGAGGGAGTGGGACTGAAGGGAAGGAATGGGGGAGAGCAGAGCAGGGAACGGGGTGGGGAGGGCTGGGACCGGGAAGAACATAGCTGGGACGGGAAAGAATCAGTTGCTGGGATCGGTTGGAGGGTTGTGTGTGGGGAGATGTGGAGTTGGGACTGGGCAGAAAGGTGCTTGGGCATAGATAACTGAGCAGGGAGTGGTATCGAGGGATTACTTTGAGAGAGTCGACTAAGTGAGAGAGTCGAGTGATGACTAAAGAGGGATGCTGGCTGAGCTGAGTCATAGAGGTTTCTCACACGTCCGTGCATTAAAAACTGGATGTAATTTGATGCATAGCCAGATTATTCCTTTCACCCCTTCACCTGGCCCGGGCTGTTGACCTAAATTGTGTTACAAAGGGTTCTTGTGTGTTCCTCGTGTGTTGCTGATCTGTTCCGGTGCCCCGCTAGCCTTCCTGGTCCTGTGTCCTGTGTGTTGTGTTATTGATACAGCTGTCTCCGTGTGTTACCGACTGTCCCCGTCTACCACCCTCTCTGACCGCCCCTGTGTGCGGCTGTCCCTCCAGGCGGGGTGCTCTCGCCGCGCAGCGTCACCTCGCCCAGCATCTCGCAGTCGATGGCCATGGTGAACGAGGTGCTGGCCAACGGCAGTCTGGGCCGTCTGGAGCGCATCCACCGGCTGGAGGAGGTGCTGGCGGCGGCCACGGAGGGCGCCGAGCGGCCCTCACCGCCGCCCACCCGAGACGCCGCCGTGCAGACCCTCTCCACCGGCGAGGTGGTCATCACCAAACTGTACGACGGCTTCACCAACTGAGGCCGAGCGCGGACAGTCTTCTGACAATAATCACCCAGGACAATATGTATACATACTACACTGACTGAGAGAGACATTGAATCCGTCCAGGCAGCCCCAGTGCGCGCCTTTAGCGACTCGGCAGCTTCGGTCGGCGGTGTGCCGACCCCCACGACGCAGTGCAGCATTTACTAGCCTATTTTTATATACCTGACAGGTGCAAACGGCTCGCCGGCCGGCGCGGCGGCGGTGCTGGCGCCGGTCATAGAGAACGTCCTGTGATGATAGAACATTTATGCAAGTAGCCCGGTGATCGGTGCGCGTGCGTTTGTTGCCTGGTGTGCCTGCGCGGGCGGCGCCCGACGGCTCAGCCGATCTGTAGTTTTGTGACGCTCGGTAGCCAGCGGTGTGTGTGTGCCTGAGCGTGTGCGAACCCGAGTCGGCCTCAACCGTTGCATTCTGTCTTCTCTAGTCATCTTGTCCCAGCCCGGCTTCTCGGCTATTTTACTTGGTCACGGTGATTATTTATTGCGTATCTTTATTCGTGAATTCGGGTCTCTGATTCACCGCGTAGCTGATAGACAGCTGGCGGCGCTAGGCCGCGGTAGTGGTAGCGGACAGTGCCGTATTGTTAAGTTGTGGCGGCTGCGGGCCGGCCGGTCGTGTCAGATGACGCCACCAGTGCCTCTGTGGGGGCGGGACGCGCCGGCCTCAGCGCGCGCTGCGCGTGCCCGCGCCGCTCGGTCGACTTCTGCGGCGAGAAGTCAGACGGAAGCGGCGCGTCAGGTCAGCTCGGTCGGGTGTGGGGCGGAACTAACTCTCGCTTGTAACCTACGGTCACAGCTGTCAGAGTTACGCGTACTAACCGGGCGGTCCCCTGAGAGGACGCCCAGCCTTCTGAACGAACGAACGCGCAGTGGCGCACAAATAAACCAAAGGCTGTACGCGGAGTGTCGCATGTGTTGCCGCCGGCTTAATATTCAAGTTGACTGAATGCTGGTTTTAAGATGTTCTGAACGAAACAGGCTACTGCGTTTTCAGACATATATGCCTAGAAACACGTCTAAATCTACACATATTTGGTTCTTTCTCCCTAGTCTCACCAGTTGGCGGGACGGGCGATGTTTTTAGCTTTCTGAAGCGGCGAGCCGTGACTTATGATGAGAACGACGAACAATTATGCCATCAGTCGCAGCTGCTGTCGCCGATTCAAAAACTGCTGTTTCTGAAAACGAACTAAGACGCCTAAGAGCTACTGTTATCAATAGAAAAACAAGTGGAACATGGGGGGTGAACCGATCGAACTGATCACTGGTTCGATTTGGTCGGCATAGAATAAGCGCCAACCTTCATATTGACCGGTCTGCTACTATCAAACTTAACGTCTAAAGAATCATGCGGGTTTTCGGAGACGTTCGGAAATGTCTGCTCTGGATCGACCACCCGCCACAGTCGCGGTAACTATTAGGTCAAACATAACAAAACAAATCGTAGCGGGTGACATTAAATTTATTCACTCGATGAGGGCCCTCCCAAGTCACATCGGTTGTCTAAGGACGTGCAGCAATACAGTAACACCCCCGCGTACACACAGCAGTCGGGCGCTGCCCCGCCCCCTGGAATGACCCGACCAATCAGATCGGCCGCAGGCCCCTCCCCGTCCCCTCCGTAACAAATACTGCCTCCTTTTGCGTCACGCCAGCTCTCCACTGGTGCGGCGCTGTGAAAAGCGGTTAGACATCAGCCGTGCATCCGCTCCCGTAATATCCCGGCGAGGCAGCCTATCAGCTCACCGGTCGGACGTTCGAGCGTGCCTGAGAGCGTCCGGCAACACACTGGAGAACACACACACACACTGCTCTGACCACTGTCCATATGCCCAGGCGGCGAAAACATAAATAGATGTCGATAGATAGCACCTAGGTGACAGCAGCACTATAGCTCCTCACGCATGAACTTGGGCTTGAGTTCCTCGATGCGTCGGATGAAGTCGGTCTTTTCGAGGCAGCCGTCGCAGATCTCGTCCCAGTCGGCGAGGATCTTCTTCAGGTCACGGACCTTCAGCTTCTTCAGGTCCACGTTGTTCAGGTCGATCTGCTTGTCTGAAAAAATCACAGAAGTTGGTGAAGAAAATGAAGATATAAAATGAAGATAGAATGGTTGAGGCGAACTAAGGCTCAAGAGGTTGAACACAAAGCCGTAAGTTTGCTCGACCTTCAGTTGGAGCCATAATGCGATTTACAAATCCCTCGATTTCAAGCCGTTTTATTACACTAAAATCTATCATATACCATGCGCTCATTTCCACCCTTCAAAGTTCAATACAAAGTGAAGTTAGCGGCCTCTCCCGGGAGCTGTGGCTGTTCACTGACCATATCGCAGCTCGCAGATCTGGTCATCCTTCTTCTTCAGGCGCTCGCAGATCTTCTCTGCTGGCATGGAATAGCTCATCGGCTGGGTGATGTCCTTGAGCGTACGCGTCGCAGAGTCCTCGACTCCGCCGACATAGTAACACTGGCGCACACACAGTCGGGGAGTTAGTGGGGCATAGAAGGTGTGGAAACCACACTGGCACAGATACAGAATGGAACTCGGGACATATGGGACAAAAGAAGTGGATGCAGCACGCACAGGTCATCCTATCAGCCAGCAGACTGTGCAGTGGGCTGGGCAGGGGAGGTGGGAAACAAAATACAACTAGTACAGACACATTATGGAAGTCATGAGACAAACTAGGCAGGGAACCAGAAGACATTTCAATTTCACACACAAAATTAAATGTGGCAATATGGTCAAGCCTTTTAAGGAAAAATATGTTCAATCAACCGGATGGGTAAGAGTGAAGAATAAGCATCCACAGAAACATTGAAAAAATATTCCTCAACCATATTTGACTCAATGGCATATGTCCCATGATAAATAAGTAGCCATAAAGGTTTCATTATGTAATATTAACTTACAAATTTATGCTCCTTTCCTTTGAGTTCAGCACACACATCTTGGAGGCTCTTCAGAATCTTATCTTGATTTGAACTGTCCTCAGCAGGGATGGCTTTGTAAATCTTGTTCAGGACACCAATACAAACTGTAAATAAAAAGGTGATTAACACAAAAGACCGTGGGCAAATTGTTAGGCAGGCACTAAAGGAATGGTTAAAATGGTTAAATCTTATGTTGCACTACCTCATAATTTGAGTCATTTGAGTAAAGAGTAGAAGGCAATGGCCTTCTTGTGAAAATGGCAGTGATGAAAACATGCATGGGTATTAGCTAAAACTCACAGTTTCATATATCATTTGTCTATAATTTTGCTCAAAAAGTGATAGGTACTTATGGTTGACAGCTAACTCCCATGAGGCTTTGAGCAAAGCCTGGCTTTGAGTCATACCTGCACTCAATAATATGACTCCTGATGGGATGGTCTCACGTCTCAGCCTATGGCTCATGAAAGCATGCCCATGTGAAAAAGTCTTGCAAGACTTCACAAGAATCTGCTTGGTCATGCAAGATCTTACACAACTCTGAGGATAATCTTGCAAGACCAAGAGAATCTTGCATAACACTATCCCATATCATATAAATAAGATTCTGTCACGATTCTGTCAACTGAAATCAGTTGAGTGGTACCAACTTAGACCAGCTGCTTTGACAGGAAGCTAAACTAAACCACCAAATTTCATGGATAACCTGATATGGGTAACTTGACTGAACTCTTAGCCTTTAAAAGTAGGTACCTACCTACATAATCAGAAAGGAGTCGAGGCCTGCACCAGGCAACAAGCTCTACTTATCATGGGGTCTGGGCCTGTCAATAAATTCATTGAGACATGAGAGCTCAATTTATAAATATTAAATGGATTCTAGGGGAGATAGCTGGTCCATCAGCCCCTTCCACAGTGCCTAACATTGTCCAAATTCTTCTATCTTCCCAATGAACTTGAAAAAAATGAACTGATTATTTTCAAGTTCACTGGGACAATGAACTTGAAAATGAACAATGAACTCTCCTAAGGCATTGCCTTTGGCACTGCGCTACTTCGCCGTGAGAAATATTATGATGTCATTATTCACAGTTGAATAGCAACTGTTAGATATCATCCTTGATTATTACTCGACCTTGGCCAGCTTTGCACAAGTAATCGCCATCCGGCACATTGCGCTAGTGTGGAGTGTCAGTGTGGTAGTGGTTTGCGGTAACTGTAAGTATTTCATAGGTGCTTTGATACTTGGTTCCAGAATGAACTATCAGATATGAATCAGGAGGTCAAAATACATTGTATAGTGTGCCTTTCATAATCGGTTCGCCACTCGGACCTCATATTTTGACAACTTTTATATGATATACTAATACCAACGTTACAAAAACATGTACATTATTATGTGTCAAGCAATTTGAAAGCAACCTATCATGGATCCTTCAATACAAAAAAATGAATATTGATTGCTCTTACCTTCACAGTCTCCAGATTTCAAAGATGAAACCAACGCAAGCTGAAAAAGCGCTATCAAACCAAACGAAATGACGAGATTCTGCATGTTGAAACAGATATTATCTAAGTAACGAATATATTTTCGAGATCAACTCTGGACACTAACCAGCACCTGACCCCACGCAAATTAAAAATCAACGAAATTCGCCCACAGCCGGCACCGTAGCGCAATAAACCACACGTCACCGGAATTGTAGCGTTTTAGCAGCCGACTCCAAGCTATTTGGCGATCTCTGATTGGTCAATTTTCCCCACTTGTCAGACTTGACAGAAGAAAATGAGGAGCATATTAAGATCTAAAAAATAGTTGAAGCTCAAGAGCTGACTCAATTTCCACTCAATTGGTTCAAGTATTTTCACCAACGATGTAAAAGTATTTTTTTCTCGTTATGTCTTCTTTGTCTTGGCATTCAAAGCACATGACGAAAATAAACGTGGCATCATTTAGAGCTGCTTATTATCAACACGTAGCAAACCCGGCGTACCGATGAGTACGAATGGAAATGCGATGACTCAGACTAAAGTCCTTGACTGATTTAAAATCAATGTGATGCTAAATTATACAAATAAGCTGGCTCTACACAGGGTCTACAGGGTAACTACAGGGTCTTTGAAAATTTATTGATCGATCGGAATGAAAGAAATTGTTCCAGCTTTTAACTCGTTGCATATAATCGATATTATAAGCATCGATGACTTTGACTGTAGGTACGATATTATATAGGTAATAGGTGCAGTCTGTCTTAAAAGTACCGCGCAAAGTAACGGTGGATCCATCAAGCCTGAGCGAGGAAGGACTGCTAAATTTGAGTCACCGAAGCAATACACGTCCTCGTCCATTCCCCAGGTCAATTGGTTCGGTGACTTTCAAATTATAGCAGCCAGCAGGCCCTTCCTCGGTCAGGCTTGATGGATCCACCGTCACTTTGTGCGCTACTTTTAAGACAGACTGTACATGCACTAGTTGGATTCACAAGAATGCAACCTTCCAAATTTCACCGCGCCAGTCTCCTGCATTGCATCGCCATTTTCCTCGTCCCCTCTCTACGAATGATTTCATATGCAGGGTTGCGGAGTCATAGTCGGAGTCGGAGTCAGTCGGAGTCGATAGTTCTGACCGTAGTCGGAGTTGGAGTCGGTTCTGGAAACCGCATACGGAGTTTGAGTCAGAGACCAGAGTCACCAAAAATTCGTCGACTCCGCAGCCCTGCCAGGTCTGCGGAGTCGGAGTCGGAGTTGGAGTCGGTCGGAGTCGACAGTTTGGTCCGGAGTCGGAATCGGAGTCGGAGTTGAGTTGTGTTTTTTTAGAGCCGGACTCGGAGTCGGAGTCGCCCGGGAAATCAATCGACTCTGCAGCCTTGGTCGTACGACCGCCTGCCCTTCCCAACTGCTCGTTTCAAGCATCGGTGTCTCATTTCGATCAACGCGACGATTTTATGTGGTCTGGCTATCGCTGGTTCCGTCATGGACATTTGACCCTGATTCAAATGCCAAATAGAGACAATAGTCAGTCGACCATTTTTTAATTTATAGTAATCTAGCAGCCAGCAGGCGCCCATATTTCAATTTGACATGAACACAACAGCACTATGCCTATTACCTACATACCTACAACCGGCAACTTTGACGCTTGCTTCGCCCTACGAGTCGCATGATTTATTTAACATAACTACAAAAATAGCACATGGTCGTTTCATATGACTCGTGAATGATAGTATAGCCATAAATCACTCAACTGTACGTTACATTCTAAATTATGGCGTTCTGAGGGTCATAAAGCGACCATAAGCGAATATAAACTCAATAATAAGCGTCTCTGTACACAAAATAAGGCTGTCAAGAACAATTCACTGCTTACATGATCACATTACTTCTAGCGTCATCAGTTTCACTCAGCCACTGAAGCCGGGCACCCCCGCGCCGCCCTCACGAGCGGTCGCACCGGCTCCATCGCGTGGCGGCACCGCCGGCAGCGGGTACTGGGTCGGCACCGGCGTGGGGATGTCGTCGCCCTGCGCGCGGAATCCGTCCACACCGGCTGTGTAAGTCACGGTGCGCGTCAGACCGCTGGGGTCCACGTAGCTGTAGGAGCCAGAGACCTCCATGATGCCCGTCTCCGGCTCGACACCGGGTTCAAAGAGACCCTCCTCCGACTGGGAGATGCCGTTCGAGGTGGTGTACCTGGCGAAAAGACGGAGACTTCAGGTTAATCGAGCTAGGATAAGGCTACTAAATTTATTATCATTTATTATACGTTTTTAAAAAGCGCTAATGAACTCGTAAGACGAAGGATTCTGTGTAGTGAGTGGTCACAGGCTCCCATGCTATGAACTAACGAACTTATCAGAACATGACTTATGTCCTCCGGAGCACATGCCACATATGTGCAAGCGCTAAAGACGCTACCACCAGCAATGGATGAAACTTACTTGTATCTATAATTGCCGAGCCCTCCGTTGGGCTTGTTTTCTTCCTCGAGAATGGTGGCCTGTGCGTCGGCTCCCGAGATGTAGGACAGGGTGTTGTAGTTGTCGTACTGAGGTCGCGCCTGAGCGCCCAACGATCCCAGTACCAACAGCAGACACTGGGGAGAAGGCGGCGCGTGCGTCATTAAATGGCGGAGAAGGTAGGTATGTGAAAAACGGTTGGCTGATTACGAGCGAGCGAGCGCAGCGAGCGAAGTGAGTCTTTTCAATATAACGGAAAAATCTCAGTATGAGCGGCCCGGCCCGGCCCGGCCCGGCCCGGCCTGTAACGCTTTTGAGAGGCTTATATCTCAGCAACCGCTGGACCGATTGGCCTGCGGTCTTTTTTGTTGGGTAGCCCCATCCCTTCTACCCCGTAATTGACTACTTTTGATACATCTCAGTGACCGTGGTGGCACGTGCCACGTGAAAAGTCAAGGGTGTTCAAGCTGTTTTGCAAAAGTAGTGATTTTGAGAGGCTCATATCTCAGCAGCCGCTTGGGCGATTGACTTGCGGTAATTTTTGTAGGGTAGCAGCATCCCTTCTACCCAAAATAGGATACTCTCGATGCATGTGGGTCACCCCCAGTGCACGTGCAAAATACAACAATAAGAGGTGCCAAATTTGTTCCCATTTCAGTAACTCGGTAATAATTACTGGGGCGATTTCGCTGAAACTTGGCATACAGGTAGGCACCCACCAGGCAATGCATTCCCATGTGTTGCGGTTAGGGTGCTAATGCACGTGCGCACGTGCAGGGGGCGTTTCCAGATCTCGAGAACGGCTGGGCCGATTGCGCTCAAATTTGGTGCACGGTTGGGGACCAGTTAGAAGGGTGCCGTGCAAAATTCATTTTGGACCCCGTTTGCACGTGCGCACGTGCAGAATGCCGCTTCCAGATCTCAGGAACGGCTGGGCCGATTGCATTCAAATTTGGCACACCGCTAGCGACCGGTTAGAAGGGTGCTTTGCACAAGCCCGTTGGAAGCACCCTCTCGCCCTTCCGCACGTGCAGGGCTCACTATCTCGCTCGCTCGTTCTTCGCCCAAAAGGCGTTTTACTGGTATCATGATTCATGATCAAGTTAATTTCTCAGTAATAGCTATAATAGCTGGTACAAATTGATATCCCTATGTCGAACGCCTTACCTAACTGACCGTTAGGTATAAGTTGCGAACAGATATATTCCTAAGCCGGACACTTCTGTGGAATGTGTTTTGCAATCCTAACTGACGGCGCCAAATATTTGTAAGCTTTTGCCTGTCTCGTGCTTTTGATGTTACGTACTAAACCACGATTCGTTTGCGACTATGTAAATAACTACGCTATTGTATTTTTTGGCAGCATGCCATTATTCTATTCAGATGAACAGTTATGACTGTCTTTTGGACGTGACAATTAAATAGCGTTGTTTTCTAGGTTTTGATATTTAACAAGGTCTTATGTGTAGCAGTATTGATCCGGGTCGGGTCAAAAGTAATCCAGAATTGGAGGATCAAAAGCATGCGATAGCATGCTTTTGCATCCGGAAATTCCCATTGGTGGGTCGCTGAAGAAAAGTTCGGCCAAGCCTGTTTGTCAGTAGGGGAAGCCGGGGGAAGCCCGGGCGCGGGGGAAGCCCGGCCACCCCGTTTCCGGCTAAATTATTCACAATAAAATGCTCAACTGTTTGTCCTTTCAGCGTGGCAGCTAAGGTAACGCCAGCAAAAAAGTTAAGGCTGACAAAAATTGCATATTGTTAAAGTTATAGCGCAAAAATGATATTTTAAGCGTTTTTAGCTAAAAAGTGAGATATCTTGCACTGTATAATGTTATACCATACAGTACTAATATTTATACGAATGTTATGTAAGGACCGTTTAAGTGTTTGTAGTGAGGGGTGACGAGGCAGGCTGGCTTAAGTATGACATTTTTTCGAATATCGCTGTTCTAAAATAAAAATTAGCACATTGGGGTAACCCCGGGCGAGTGGCCAAGCTTACCCCCAACCGAGAGCAATGCCACTAAACCACTGTTTTCCATGAGATAATAGGTACTGAACAGGTTTGGTTTACATCTAGATCAAAGATAAATTTCGAAAATAAACATGTTATCATAGACAAAGCCAGTCATGTCACTTAAGGTCAACTAGGGTCAAACTACGTTTTTGCAGATAACGCGACAGACAATGAAGCTAGAGCTTCAAAAATGGTGTCGTTGTGTTCTTCTTCATCCGCCGAGTCGAATGATATGCAATATGATGCATTAAGGTAAAAAGAAAAATAAATTTTAAGGAATTTTGAAATACACATTTTTTGTCAATTTTGCATCACGATTTTCATCGACCTGTACTGTATATGTAGTAGACGCTAGCTAAAATACCAGTAGTGACATAAGCTCTAAGATGTCCAGAGCTAATCAGTACCTTAATATTTCACTTTCCGTTAATATTTAAAAAACACATAATGGTTTCATCAACTCGTTGTAAAGCGCTGGGGAGGTGGCCGGCGTTACCCCTATGCCGGGCTTACCCCAGAAAAATCAACACTTTTTTAAAACTCGATTTTCTCAACCTTATACTTATTCCACGAAACCGAATTTTTGGGAATACACGGCCAATGAACTTAGCTAGCTAGCAGGATATCAACATTTTATACAGCACGTATGGTATGTAATAAAAATGAAAAAGAGCTTACTATGCCGGGCTTCCCCCGGCTTCCCCTATGCAAGGTCAGTATGTGAGTGAGTATGTGAGTGAGTATGTGAGTGAGTTTGTCCAAGCTTTTTTGGACCTGGAGTCAAAATGGGTGGACCGATCGGGACGAAAGTGGGACCGTTCGACTCGTCTCCGGCGAGGTAGACTTTTGGTACTGGCCTCGGTTCGCTCAGTGCTTCGTGGCACATGCTATTCCGCTTCAAAGTTTCGGTGACACGAATTTTTTTTTTTGTCAAGGCTACAGGTCAACCCGAGGCAGGGGCGTCGCCGACGGGGGGGTCGGGGGGGTCGTGACCCCCCCACTCTTGAAAACTGGGGGTGTCGACCCCCCACTTTTTGCGATGCTGAGTATGCTTTTTTAGCTTTTATGTCAGTGAAGCAGGCGTCAGCAACACCAACAAATACATCAGATTCAAAATCGCTTCAAGAGCTCCCTAAAGCCAATTAGCCAATTACCTAAAGGTCAATTAGCTGTGGGCGGGGAACACCAGCACAACAATGTTTTTAAGTAGCCCCCATCCTAGTACCTTTTTATCCCTCAAAGGATTGGACGCGCCAAAACTGCCCCGAGCGTTCGCCTGATCGTTTTAAAAAAATGGTCGCAGTCGATTCGTCGGATCAGTACCTAACTACAAAACTACAAACTAGCCTCAGCCCCATGGCTACCGTCACAACTAGCTGTACAGTGCACATGTAGGGGAAAGGGAGTCAGATGGAACCGTCTCGGCCTTTCGCAAAGAAGTCGCGCAAAAAGGAGCCGATTGTAACAAAACTTCCGGTGCGCTCGAGTTAATCACCTACTTAAAATAAATCGATATCCCTGATTCAAATAAAGATGACCTTAGTTCACTTTTTCATAACGTGCTTTTAATTGATAGGGTAGTTTTTGGAGCTGATTTTGAACTTAGCGCCCATCTGAACATTTAAGAAGTAGTTGTGTTGCTTATTCATATAACATGCTAGGAAGCAATCGGTGGTGGTCATCCACTATTAGGTACTGGTCGATCTGACCTGACCTGATCTACCCCAAATGCATGGAGTGATCATCTTCGTTCAAAACTAAGATAACATTCGTAATCAGAACCTCGAAAAACCATCACAACTTACATTCGTTAAGTTCTAGCAGGTCCCGAGTTTCTCTACTTATTGGCGATGACCTGAGTCCTGAGATGACCCGAAAACTTGTAAATGGGTATCATCGGCTTTCTTTCGTCACGGGCAGCATGCTCTTTTTTCCGCAAACCTGTAGATCGATCAGGGGTCGAAAGCATGCCTCAGCGTTAGTTTAGTATACGTTATACGTTAGCGACTGGGAAACCACCAATAGAAGGGCTACAGTGAAGCAGAAAACTATTCGATAGCTCTTTTAACGCTCTTTCGCTAGCTTCGCGTTAGATTTCATCTCAGGTCTATGTTTGGCCCATAAGAAGGCAAACAGCTAACTGGACAGATTCTGCCGAAACATCTGCTTTGCAATAACTTTCGATTCCGTGAATTTGTATGGTATGTACATATGTTGTCTTGTCACCACCGTCTTGATCTCTTTGAGACGCGTCACATGAGTTAAAATTTGACCATTCAGAATTAACGTTAAAACGACCTCAGGTCAACGTTATGTCCTGATCGAAAAAGGACCTCATGCTGCATATGAATGGATCCGTGTTGTTGAGCTGAACAGTGAACACCTTCCAGGTGCTGTCATCGCTCTACCGCGTCTTCGTCAAAAGTTGTAAAAAAATGCTGGTGGCCATCGATGGACATTTCCACTAATGACCTTTCGAGTCATCACTCGCCATAAGTTGCACCCTGTCCCTGGCAATGATGAGCTGATTTGTCATGGCTCCAAAGATATTTTGCGTTTCTGACGAACTTTTTCAAAGCAGGAGGCATTCGTGCTTTTTCTAATTTCTCATTATTTTCTATTGATGAGGTCACGTATTTGACCTGCCTTCAGATCATAGATGTAAATCCTCAGTTAGAATCACGAATTGCTGACACGTATAACCCCATACATTAGGTACCTATACAGTGTACCAAATTTCGAAGTTATGGGAGAAAAGCTACAAGAATGGCGAGAGGGGAAAGTTTTTATAGAGGTATACCGTATAACTGAGCTTGACATGGCGACCTGACCTTAAGTGACCAGTGATAATTTTTACGCAAGTGATGTAGGTAGGCATACCTACCTAATAGGTTATACCAAATTTGGCGGCGCTGCGCGCCGATTTGTTACACACGTATGCACACACACATACGCACGCACAAAACTGGGAAGTGTGGCAAAAAAAAAAACACCCCTACCCGTCGGGTGAAGACTAGAAACCCGACCCCCCCACTCAAAATTCCGTGGCGACGCCCCTGACCCGAGGTCACGGACAAAGCCACACTGGCGGGACACATCGGTAACACCTTGAACCAGTTTCCAGGGGGGTCACCGTCTGCGAGGGGTGCAGGCTGCACGTGCTGGGGGCGGAAAACCGTTTTGACGTGAGGTCCTCTGGCTCAAAGAAATTTTGAGCTATCAACCTCAAAATCGGTTCAATGGTAGTCTCAGGCAAGGCCTCCAAAATAGTGCACATTTGGTTGAGCTAAACTCTGTGGTGCATGAGCTATGTACGTGCAAGCCGATTGCACCCCTTCGTGCCTGCAGGGTAAACGGCCGCTCTAACTGGTTCAAAACTTGCAGGTCATAAGAAGAATACATTGAGTCATAACATTCCGGCGAGATAATATCCGAGGGGTGCAAGCTGCGCGTGCGGGGGGTGGATAACGGTTTTGACTAGGGATCCTCTGATCCCGGGAAACATCGATCTAGCGACACAAAAGTCGGTACACTGATAGAACTAGACACACGCTACATGATGTTATGAAAATGACTGCACTGGGGTGCCTGGGACATGAACTATGCACGTGCAGTTAATTCATACCATACTGTAGGTAGATATCCGCACCAATCTCACGTGGTTCGAAGCATTTTTGGGATGTTTCGTTTGGTTTCAGGTTCAGTCCAAGCTCAGTCTGGGTTTCGGTGGTTTGGCCCGGTGTGTGCCCTCAGTACCGTTCCTCCAATTCTGGCCCAAGGCAACGCAAGAGCGCTGCCGGCATCTAGCACAATGGACAGACCGGCACCAGTACCTTCAAGCTATTAGCACGGAATATATAGGTACTCTACGACGTTCTTAGCATTCGGCTGGGAAACTATTGGCTCATTTATGTATAATCACCATCGGTGAAATTTTGGTTCAGTAAAGAACGTGACTTAATGTAGGCATACATTTAATTGCTGTTTCATCCTCATCGGTCAAATCAAACCATGCAGATTCCGACCATGACAGGGGACAGCTGGTTGCTTGCGTGACATTTTTTATTTCACATTAATACAGACTTTACGGTGCGTTCACTGGAGATTAACCGTTTAAAGGAAAAGGGCCACCTTTAACATGGGGATTGAAACTGAGATAGCCATCTTGTAGCCCGTGTCCGAAAACCTGGCTGTCTACCTCCTTACGGCCGATTTCGGCCTCCATTCGTAGTTATCGGCAATTTTAAAAGAAAATACGCCAGGAATGCGTCCTTATCCCAGGAATGCGTTCTTATCCGACAATACAGCCACCCGCGGCGAGGCTTTGGTTTTTTACCAATCAGCTCCAACCAGCTCAGCTTTAACCAATCAGCTTATCTGACACAATCCGACGAGTCTGTCTTCTGAACGCTGATTGGCTTGAGTGTGACGTCATCGCTATGCCATCATACAGTAGGTGCCGTAGAGAGTATCAACATAGTACCAATATGTTAAATAGTTTAAAATAATTTTTCGCGAATTGTGCACTTCTGGCACCAGTTTTAAAAAGAAAATGAAAAATAATAATGTCAAAATGAAAAACAACGATACCTTCATATTTCAAGAAGGTGGCCCTTTTCCTTTAATTCGAAGGTAGCCGTGCACCAATTTAAATTAATACATACTTTACGGTGCGTTCACTGGGGATTAACCGTGCGTTAATTCGAAGGTAGCCGTGCACCAATTTAAATTGGTGCACGCGCGTGCAGTGATGACTTTCTCGACTGAAGTTTTTCGTAAGGGTCATTGACTTTATTCTAAGAATTCCATAAAAGGCCCTTTTAGTGTCATGGACTAAGTTTAATTTTAATTCAAATTCGCACCGTTAAGCATGTATTAATTAGTTTAACACATGGTTTCCGTGCATAAATGGTTTTAACGCACTCGTGGATGGAATGGAGCACTTGTGCGTTAATGCACTCGTTTCACTCGTGCATTAACACACTCGTGCTCCAACCCATCCACGTCGTGCGTTAAAACCATTTACACACGGGAAACCATGTGTTAATATATATTGTTCTAAAAAGTTTCTACGCTCATGACTATCGCATCACCGAGTTGAATTTATATTTGACCCCACGGTACTTACGGCAATGTCAAACATCCTCCTACGGTGTGAAGCAAACTGACCAGTCCAACAGTGACACACCCCGATCACACCGAGATGTGTGCAGGTTCTGGCCCTACCCAGTCCTTAAATAGAGCCCTGCCTGTCGGCCACAGAGTGCACGAGACGCGTGCATGCCAATCACAGAACAATGCGGCAGAGTCCGGGCAGGATGTGGGTCGGGGCAGGGCGTGGGAGGGCATCGGTGAAATACCGCAAGAGCGACCTGCAGTGTCCGCTGAAGCAAGGATTCAATACGGTACACGTCTTGCTGGATACGGCGTAGGCAATATAATTATCTGATTCGACCAGCACTTAGCTGGCCCGACCTCTTTTAGGTGTCAGCCTGAGATGTTCTGCGACCTCCTGCATATTCCTTCTCCCTGTGCCGCTAGGTTTTTAAGGTGGCCACATCGGCTATCAAGCACTGGCTCTTTCCACTAATTGAGCGGACGTCAAATCAGACAACTCAAGAGGACAATGAAAATCGAACATGTAACGTGTTCTAATTCCTCAGGAGCTCAATATTCTATCCGTTGACACATCATACAGCGTGCCTTGCTTGTACTAGGCTAGGTTGGCTGTGCCTTTTAATTGTGCTTACACCAAGGATCAAGGTTCATTGAATCTACCGCATTTGCAAAAGACTATGTTTCGGCCATGCATGCACATAAAAGCAGCCGCTCTTCAGACTGGCGCGTAAAATTCAGCCTGTCTTACTTTCACAAATCTTACACGCGTAAACTGCGCAATGGTCTGTTATTCTTATTTGTAAATGCTTTTTAACTTAAACTTAGAACTTTTCTTTGAAAAAGAATTCATAAGTTATGTCATTATTATAAGAAATTACTCTGAATAAATAATGATAAATATAAGATAAAGCTCTGGATAACGATTGTAGACGAGCATATGCGCCATGAAAGTCTTCTATATTTGTTTACATTTTTCCAGGCTGGCTGTGCAGGTGAAGGTGTAGGGTTTAAATCAATATTTTTTTTCACAGTTTTCATGCCTGTGCGTCTAGGATTGTGATTTATTGAACAATGTAAATTGATGTGACTCTCGACTCATAATAAGTTGAATCAGCATGCCCGTATTACCTGTAATAAGATCGATCGATACGGGTTGCGTCGTTGCCTTTTGCTTTAGGAAGATTCTTCAAGATATTCAAAATAGCCTATAGGCTTTCGGAGTTCTTATTTCTATTTTCCAAACTGTTACACCAACTTTTCTCCTTCGAAAATATTTAATACCTAGTACCTACAATGTTTTCATGGTAGCTTAAAACCCTCGCCGGACCTATGGGTTTTCTACATTGACATACGCGCCGGCCGAAGGGGGGGGGCGGGTACGACCCCCCCCCTCGCTGTTTCGGCCTGAATTGTAACTTGTAGACTGTGCCGGGGCGAGACGGTTCCGTCTTTACATCGCGCTCCAGGCTCCTTACCGCTGATAATATTCGATTCGCGTCAAATTTTGTGAGAAGACTAAGAAATGTACAGGCAATCGTATTTATGGTCAAAGAATTTTGAAAATCGGTCGGTAAAAAACTTGAATTATGAGCGTGTAAACACAAAATTGTGATTGCTGCGTTTCCCGCGTCGGCCGATCCCGCTTCAGCCGGCAACATCTTACCCTTAGCAGGCTTCTAACTGCTATATTTATTGTTGAATTAACTAGAAATTCACCATTCATGCTCACAAATTATGTTCTTTCTTGTGGTGAAAGAAAAAAGAAAATCGGCCGGTAACTTTTTGAGTTATCGGCGTGTAAACGCAAAAAAGTCGCTCATATGGCAGATTTGACCACATTTGACCTCATTTGACCTTGAAGATATTGACCAAGGCCCATGAAATTCACACGCAAAAGAGTTCCCCAGAGCCCCACCTACCCTCCAAATTTCGTCTTTCTAGCTCCAGTAGAAGCTGAAATCTGAAGGCCGCCCCACACTGGACCTCGCATGCGGGTTGCGAGTTTGCGGGTTTTGAGTTCGCGGGCATAATACTAATTCATAGAGTGATTAGACCGTTCCCTTATGGGAACTTCATGAATGCAGTGAAGCTGGTACACCTTCAGAAAATTACATATAGTCGCAATACCAGCGCAACGAACCAAAGTTCGACTCCAACGAAAAACCCGCAAACCTCGCAGAACTCGCAGACCTCGCAGCGAGGAAAATCGAAAGTTGACTCAAAATCAACTTTTGGAATGCGATGCAAGGACGCTCGCAAGCTAAAAACATGCAGACTCGCTTGTTAGATGGTAATGTGAGTCACTCAGCTTAGATTGTATTATTTGATATTGAAGAAACCCGAAAACCCGAAAACTCGCAACCCGCATGCGAGTTCCAGTGTGGGGCGGCCTTTAGGGGGGGGGCGACATCCGCCCCCCCCCTCCACTGGGCGTAGTACTCGCAAGTCAACCCATCCACTGCGCGTGTTAAGCTATCTCATTTCTATACAAGCTATGTCTAATGTCTATCTCATTTCATGATCTATTGCTTTCACCTTGAAGCATTCATTCCTACTTTGTCTCTTGTCAAATGCGTTTATTGTTGTAGTTATTAGCTTACAGAAAGAAGATGTTGATATCGACAATCAATATGGATTGTGATTGGGATCAGCGTTGATATTTTAGCATTGGATGAAGAATAAACGTCCTACGAAGCCATGGCCAGGCTTCATTCATGGCCTCTGGCAGTGTTCCTAGTGATCGCGATCAATGCAGGTAATCAACTAAAAGCTCTCGCTACCCCGCTCGCAATATTGCAGGAGATGATGCGATTCTGTCCTTTTTTCCACGACTGGAACGTCTCGGGCTATTTTAATTGAAATGTCACCTGCTGGAATTTATGTAAACCATCAGAACATTGCTAGCATAAGCTATCGTATCGTTTAATAAAAATCGCGATTTATCGGTAGCTTACTGCTCTCATTCATTACATCCACGGACCCTCACTGGGATAATCTTCGTTCTCACACGGTGGCCCGTAACTAGAACTCAAACCTCACCCAGTACGTTGTTTCTGATCACCTGAACTGGGCGTGTCGTCTAATTGTGATTGGTCGCTGTAGCCGCGGCGACCACGGTGGGTCGGTTCGAGTACCTGCACTACCGCCCGGTGGTGCCGTCGAGACCGACGGTCGGCCGCCCGGAGCGCGCCCACGCGGCGTCGGTGTCGATCGAGTTCGCCGCGCTGGGCCGTCGGTTTCGACTGCTGCTGACCCCCGACCTCACCACGCTGGGACCCCACCTGACCCTGGTAGGGCCGGGCCGGGCCGCAGGACTGCCGGACTCTGAACACCTGCAGCTCTTCCAGGGCACCGTTCAAGGTAAGTGGCATAGTTGATGTCTTGCTCAAGCCAACAGGGCATTTGTCCAGAATCCTTATTTTCTCCTGATCGTGGATACTTATCATCGAAAAGCTATCCGGTATTACCATTCATGAGCTGATACGTGTGTTTCTAAACTTGATTTGAGAGTCTACAGTAAAGATAGAGATAAAACGATAATAATTACCTCCGTGTGTTCTGTCCAGCAGTCCGCCCGTCATCCCTCTCCTCCCCCTTATCCCCCCCCCCCCCCCAGGGGAGCCGGGCTCGTTCGTGTTCGGCTCGCTGCGGGACGGAGTGTTCAGCGGCACAGTCGAGATCCCGCCGGCCGTCTACTCGATCGAACCGCCCCAGGTGCTGGCCGGTAATCGGAGCCGACACGGCGGAGCCACCCGCCCCGCCCCGCCCACCCCGCCCCCGCCGCCGGAGGGCGCTCACTCAGTCATCTTCTTCAACGATGATGTCAAACTGCCTCGAGGTACGGGAGAGGGGGTGGGGGAGGGAGACGGTCGCTGGGGGTGGGAGTGGGGAGGGGATGCTACGGGAGGGACTGTCGTCGGCGGTGGTGTGGTATTTCGCGAGTCTGTGTGCGTGCGTATGGGGATGGATAAAGTGTTGGGACTCGTTAAAGCGACCCTCCCACCTTAACATTAGATTTGAGTTGAGATAGCCAAAATGGGGTCCCTGGCTCACAATTACCGGTTTCGGCACTCACAACATCGAGAAATGCCTTAAATCGGAAATATTGAATTTCAAAATTGCAGCATTTTGATTCAGAGGGGCTAATGCATAGGAATACCCCTCTGAATGTGTGACGTCAGCGCAGATATCTAACGATTTTTAAATGTTTGACTAAAACGTTTTGTAGCACGCGGTGGTATATGCTGCTTTGCGCGCAACAAATGCCGCACTTTCAAATAAAGTCGCTAGGAACAGCGGAGATTCCAAAAAGTAAACAAAAGTAAAAGTCTAATATCTTGAAAACCGGTGAATATTTTTCGATGAAATTTGGTAGATATTTGTTTTTGCTCTTTCTGAACCGAGCGACATCACTTTCATGCCAATTCATTAACTTTTTTGAAGGTGGGAGGGTCCCTTTAAAGGTAGTGTGCCACCTTTGAAAGATTTCCCATTCTATTTTTCCTAGGATAAGAAGCTTCTGTTTTTACATAATATCGCCAAAAAAATCAAAAATGGGCCTGGAATAGTGCCTTTTTCGCCTAAAAGTTTTTCGGTTTTTAGATATGTATAACAACTGTAGTGGGCTCACCTGCAAACAGGCGTCGGGCAACAATCGCGAATGCGGCGCACTTGTGACAATAAGCAAAGGTCATTATAGTGTTACGACCATACGACGTACGGGAATGAGTTATCAGCTGTCTAATCGTAGACAACACTATGTCGAGCCTTAAACTGTAAGCCCGTATTGGTATTGTTTCTTTTATTTGGCTGTCGAACATTATTTATGGTTTGAAATATGATTTTATGTAAAATAATTGATATGAAAAAGCCGTCTTATAAGTTATGACCCCATTTCACCACACGCAAGTGGCAGAAATGACAATGATCAGCTGACGCATTTTTCTTGGCCGAAGTCAGAGCGCGCGGCCCGACGCACCACGCGTATTTGGAAATTCCGACCTCGACGAGCATCAGAAGCCACCTAACAGGCGTGTTCGAAACCGCAGGAGATGATGATGAACGGGTTTATCGA